TGTTGCCAGCCTGAGGATTACGAGCCTCCCTTCTTTAAGGGTTGTGCTGAGAATGAAGCCGTAAATATATGGAACAAGAACCCCTTGAAGATGGAAGTGGGGAATGTCAATAGCAAGCATCTTGTGTTAGCTTTGAAGGTGTAGTGGAAATTACAGCATCTGTCCAGAATTCTGTTGGGGTCTTTTTGATCAATTTCTCATGTTTGCTTTGTTTATGCAGGTTAAGAGTGTCCTTGATCCATGTGATGCTAATGATGCTAACAGTGATGATGACAAGATGAGCTTGGGTCGTGAGTCAGACCAAGATAATGATTTATCGGACACCGAGGTAAAGGCCAAAGAAATCAGATAACTGATAGTTTCAGTAACATTATCTTTAGTTTGCTCTTTTTTTGGTTATGGACATGTTGTACCTCCTTTTTGCATGAAAATGTCTGTACCGTATTTTGTTTTCTTTTTGTAATCTAAAGTATTCCCTGACATTACATAATCCCTGATTCTATTAGGTTCGCCCATCTGACGTGGATCGTTACGTCGTTGCTCCTAATGGTAACATTTATTCCATGATGCTCTCATTTATTTAATATTTTTGGTGCTAATATACTTGCTACAACAGATGGAAATTGCAAAGGTCAGAGTGGTACAAACTCAGAAGGTCAGTTATTGGTTCAAGAGAGCTTTATTTGCTCTCACATACAGTATATATGTAGTTTTTACATGCAGACGTGGTCTATGTCCGTTTGTTTGCTCTTCTCTAATTTCATATATTCACAGATGAAACTCAAGATGCTGCTCATGAGGAAGAGCTAACAGCTCAAGTAAGAGCATGGATATGCTCAAGAGACATGGGTACTGTTAATGCTTCAGATGTCCTTTCCAACTACCCTGACATATCATTGGTAATTCTTGCTGTCATCTTCCCTTTTATGACAAGTATTGATATTTTGGTTGATTATTTGTTCTACTTTAGTCACTAGACTTGTGAGCAAGTGACAGATTTCTTTATAGTGTTAGTCCACCAGTGTGTGTAAACAGACCATGCCTTGATACACTTTACAAGTTTTCTGGGCTGCTACTAACAAGTGCTTGTTGAATGTTTTGCAGGAAATGGTGGAAGGTAATGCAGAAACAGTTCTGTGTGCTCGTCAGATTAATCTTGTAAAACAGAGGCATTCTTTCTTCATTCTTATTCAAGTCGTGAATTACTAAACTAATGACTCATTTTTCAGATATTTTGGAGAGGCTACTTAAAGATGGTTTACTTTCCAGGGCAGGCAAGGATGGTTATGCTGTTAACAAGGTCAAGCTAAGTAACAGTATTGTGTACCACATGATATATTGTTCTTCACTAACATGATTATTCCCTGATTACAGGTTACTGATCCCAAAACACCCTACATAAAGAAAGAGAAAGAGGTTGCCATGCACAATGTTACACCTACTGAAGGAACCAAAAACAACGACGCAGATGTGATGTACATGAAGGTACCGTCCTTAAACCCTTGATGGTTATGCTGTTAACAAGGTCAATGCATGGGAATTTCTCCTAACATAATATTGTCGTTGCAGGCATTATACCATGCACTTCCAATGGATTATGTGACTGTAGCTAAGCTTCAGGGCAAGCTTGATGGCGAAGCCAACCAGACCACAGTCCGAAAGTTGATGGACAAAATGGTGCAAGATGGATACATTAAGAATTCAGGCAACAGAAGATTAGGTAACTACTTGAATTTATCTGTATGAAGTCAACCTTTTTGAAAATCTTCATGAAATCTAAGATGCCTTCTTCGACTGTAGCCTCTATTCTTCTGGATGGTTCACATGTTTTTTTTTTGCGGGGGTTGTCCAGCAAGTGGTGAAGAATAAACCAGCCATTAATCCCATTTTCATTTCCTAGAAAGATTTGCTGCTGAGACTCAAATGATCAGTTTTTGCATGTTGATCAATTGCATTTCTGAAAAAAGTGTTGCGTAGCACCCCTGAAGGAAGACCATTTTCTTCATGAAAAATGTTGTTTACCAGTAATACTTGCATGCTGATCTTTCTTGGATAAAATGCATCAGCTGGAAAGCTTCATAAGTTGTTATGTTCGCTGCAAACTAATCATTGTTAGGATAAACAATCCTGTCATTTTACTGTTCCATTATACTGTAATAAATATAATACAGACATGTATCTTCTGAATTCGATCAGTTGATCATGTCAGTACACATTATCTATGTTATGCAGTTTACTACATTTGTTCTCTTCACAAAATACATGTCAACCTGTGTCTCACAGGAAAAGCTGTCATTCATTCTGAAGTCACCAACAGAAAGCTCCTTGAGATAAAAAAGATACTGGAAGTTGATATCACTGATGAAATGGTATGACCAGTCCAAGCTTCATGCACCACTTCTGTAGTAATTCTGCAACTCATTTGTGCATTCCCGATCCATCTCAATCTCTGTTATATCATGCAGGCAATTGACACCAACGCAAGGCCTGCTGAGTTTGACCGCAGAGATCATCAGATAACTGGTGAGTGGCAACAGTGATCTACATCCATGTTCAGGCTCTTACCTCTTTGTCACATTGGGTTTGGCAGCAGTTGCTAAACCGTAGCATTTACCTCTTGTTACAGACCAGGAAATGAAAGATGGCTCGACAAACGGCCGCTTCCAGTCAGTTGGATCTGATCTTACCCGCACACGGGAGCTACCGGAGCAGCAGCAGAATAACAAGGACCCAAGCAGGACTCCCACAAGCAATCGCGAGGTATGACCGAAGCCTGATTGGACTTCCCCAAGTAGTCAAGAATTTTGCAGTGTTGAGACTCTGAGTAAGAGCAACCACAACATATGTAGTATAGTTGAAACGTGATAAACTGTGATGCCTTCCTTGCAGTCGGCTACGTCCCTGGAGAGTGGGGTGCTCGGGCAGAGGATCAGGAAGTCTCTGGCTGGCGAAGAGTCGATGGGCACGCCGGACAAGCGGACCAGGAAGACCAGCATGGTAATGGAAAAGTTCCACCTTCCTTCACTTAACCAAAATATCAAATCCACAAATCTCACGCATGTGACATGCTCATCACCCTTTCAGTTGCATCAGTTTAACAGCAACCATAAGCTTGACCACCGGTGAATTTGTCGCAGGTGAAGGAGCCGATCCTCCAGCAGGTCAAGCGCCAGAAGTCCTAGTTCAGTTGAGGCGGCACGGAATCGCAAGGAGCCTCAGCGCAACTAACCTCGTAGGCCAGGTGAAGAAGCAGATACCCCCTAGTTCAGTACGTCAGTTCGTTCAGGTGCTTGAAACTTGTGAAGATAGCGACAGAGCACCCCCCAGGCAGATGTAGATCCTTGTCCCTAGCCGTATCCTTGGTAGCAAAACGTAAACGAGAGAGACTTGTCCCCCCTGAGACGTGTTGTTGTTCATGATGTTTGTTTCACTGGAGACTGTACTGTGAGGCCACTTTTGCCTGAATGATGAAACGTAGCAATGTTGTATACAATGATGATCATCGTTGGTTGCTTCACGCAATGACGGATCTATTTGAACTTTTGTACTGAGCAGCGACGGTCGGCGCAAGCTTTTTTCTTCTTGTTGTCTTGGGTGCTGTAGCTGTAGGTACTGTTCTGTGGTCAGTGTACGCCGGCGAGCAATTGCTTGGCGTATGACCAAAGCTTTTCCGGCGGGGACCGTGGGGCGGCGTTTTCTTCCCTCGCCTGGTGCATGGGCAGCGCGGCATTGATGATGCCCGGCACACTGTCACCTGGATCGTGTTGGATTAGTGCGTACACCTGTGCTACTAAAAGCCTGGTAGTGGTAGGCTTGAGTGATGGCCGTGTTGGGTCACTGTAGCAGTTCATTCCTTGCCGGCGTTCCGAGTTATTGACGCGGTGGTGGTCACGTCTCCCGGAGGTCGATCGCTGTACAGGGCCTCCGGCCGATGAAATTTGATCCGGAGCACGTCCTGGATCAACTAATGGCTCTGCGTCTGTTGTCAGGCCTGTCGAGCCGCTCGGCGTGTTTGTGCGACACGACGGAGTTCTTCCAGCGAATCAATCATCGCTAGGCTTTGTCTTGCTTCGCATCGTTAGCTTGATAACGAAGAGATCCATAACGAAATCTAAGTAGTAGTACGCTAAAACGTTGAGCTGTCTAAATCTAAAAAGAACATTCTCTTTCAATGGACTCCACATGCCCACACTCGGTTCTGAGGTCTAGTCGAATATTCTTTCCAAATCTAAAACACAACTTCAATTCGTCCTTTTTTCTTTAAATTTTATTAAAACTAACACAAATTCGAAGCGCCGCTGGAGCACCAGCACCTCCCCCAAATCTGTTTTTTTTTAGGTTTCTCCCCCAAATCTGCTGAAGCCCAAACGCGCGCGCGCGAACGCCTGGGCCCCCGCGACAGGCCAGGAGCCCCGCCCCGCCCAGCGATGCCGCCGAAGCCGCACGCCGCCGGCGGCAGCTTCGAGTACTGCGAGCTGTGCCGCCGCAACCACGACCAGGGCCGGCGCCACCGCTACTTCCCCGCCCACCGCGCCGCCCTCGCCGCCGCGCTCTCCGGCTTCCCCGCCAAGCTCGCCGACCTCCGCCGCGCGCTCCTCCGCCCCTCCGCGCCTGCCCCCCGCTCCCGCCTCTGGTGCCCCTTCTGCTCCGCCGACCTCGTCGACCTCGACAGCCGCTTCGCCTGGTAGCCTCCGCCTACTTCTCCTAGGCGTCCCTGCACACCTAGGGTTTTGATTCAGATGTGCTGTTTCTAGTTACAGTAGGTTCCAACTTTGGATGGTCCAATAGAACATGAGATCGAGCACTGGTAGCACATCGGGATCAAGCAGGGGTTGTTGGAAGCACAGTAGAGTTTTTAGAGATACTGTAGACATCTGGACTTTGTGTGAATGATATAAGACCTGTTTTACTCTGTTTGCAGTAGCAATGCGATTTACCATCTCGCGAGCGAGGAGCACCTGAAGGGCGTCAAGGATTTCCTGCGGAAGCATGGGGGCGGGATGGATCAGGTCGATTCGTTTAGGATTTCAGAGGATGAGCTTGCCAAGGTGCAGTGCTATATGTTTTGTGCCTGTATTTCCTCCTGCTAGAATGGCATGATGTGCTTATTTTCACAGCTGCAGTTATATCAAATGGTCTGTTTGTTATTTAGATATGATATTGGCAGTGAAGCAGGTTAATATGTGCTCTGGAAATAAGATGATGCTGACATATTTCTGCACTGCTGATCTGTTATGTTTTTATAATTTCAGTGGGAGAAGGGCTGTGAGTCCTCCGGTAAAGAAGCACAGGCATTGGCCAATGGCATGATTGGACCATCTTTGGGGCCGTTGAAAGATATCCAAAATGAATCTACCTCTAAAATTTCGGATAGTTTTGCTGAAACTGACATCCCATCTTTTCGTAATACTGCATCTTGTGTTGTTATGCCTTTACAAAGTCCTACCAATGGGGCCTATTACCCCACTAGTACAGCGTGTCATGGATCTTCCACCTCTGGAAGTGTTGCTTATTCTGCTCCATTTGGTACTTCCGGACTGCCTGTCAAACCCTGTGTCACAACACATGGACATCAGGGTATGCCAAGTACAAACGTGTTTCATAGTGCTGATGCACAAATGAAAGGTGAGCCCTAGTGTTGAAATTCTCACTGATCTTTCACTTCTTTTTTGCTCTGGACTTTGCTAATTGTACTATTCTACAGCTTGGTTGGTACGTTGCTGATTTTTCTCCCTTTACAGGTGCTCAATCTACTTCCCTCGGAAATGGACCAAATCCACCGTCTTCTTCTTTTGTATATGTAAGTATATAATATGTGCACACACCCATGTGCATGTGAAAAGTAGACATTTGTCCTTTTGAAAAGATCGCAAGCAGCCTTGTGTATTTTGTTCGTTATTTAGCAGTCCTTCTGTAAACAAGATCCACTAAGAAATTTGAAGTGCTGATGAGTTGCAACGACAAATGGGAGTGTATTCCATTTATGCAAAGAGAAGCTATGGTTAGTTAGTGTTGTTTGAGCCAGTATCACAATGTTTAGGCATCTTGAATCTGAATAGTAGAAAGCTAAACGAGAGGAAGTTGTCATACAGACTCAGGAAGTTAAACCATATGGCATATTGACATCTTTAGGAATGTGATTTTTTGGTTGCAGTCATGCTTGTAGATTTTAGTTTGCAGATATATTTCCTTGGACTAGTTTCTGATCTACATCTGGTTAATTATATAAATGTGTAATTTATCTTCTTACTATGGTATTGGAGTACACCAGACCAGACATGTCAGATGTGCTATTAAATTTATGTCCTGATCTGTCGCCAGCCTCTACTCATGCCTTCACTGTTCCCCGGTGTCTTAAAACATGTCTTTACCTCCCCCAGTAACATAATTGCAATTCTTTCTCATATGTTAGCAGAACCTGCACAGTATTAATTTCAAACAAATGTAGCAATTTCTCTTTTCTTGTAACAAAAGGGTTTTGTTCTAGTTTATGTTTCTTGTTTCCTAAAAGAAATAATTATGAACCAATTTTTTATTTACAAATGTTCATATGTAATGATTTGTTGTTTATATAATCACTTTTCTGTGGTGCATGTTGGCATCTCTTTTTTTACAATTCTGCCCTTGCAGGTCCAACAGGGCCACTCTGGAGGGAAATTCAATCAGGGTATTTGACACTGCACTTTCTGTAGTGTATATTTTCCTTGCACTAATCTGATTTGAAAATGCTGCAGCTTGAGCAAAATTTGATATATCTACTTAATTCTTTCTCAGTCCATGCATGAAATTTTATGTGATATCATTGTGTTATGAAGGCCTGAAAGCAAATGTGCATACTGGTGCTCCTCCTCCATGGTTAGAAGCTAGTGAGCATGATCCAAAGAATGTGTCACTCGCCAGCTATGCTCTTCCATCTTCTCTGAAAGGAAAATCAAGAAAACTTAACCCAAAGCGTGTTGGAGCTGCATGGGCAGAGAGAAGAAGAGCTGAAATGGAGGTGGAAAAGCGAGGTGAGGTCGTTGCAGAAACGCCTGATGCTAGTTGGCTCCCTAATTTTGGTGGTGTCTGGCAATCTGGTTCACGAAAGGAATCGAGGAAAGAGTTTGAGAAAAATCATAAGCTTAAAGAGGAGAACAATCCTGAGTTACTCCCTGAGATAAAACCATATATCAGCAAAAGGATGGTAAGTGTGTTCTCTCACTTTCTCCTCTGTCTTTTCTATATGTTTACTTTGGTATTCAGGATTTCTGTGTGCAAGTAAGCAACCTCTGACCTTTTTTCTATTCGTCAGTCCATGGTCTTCTTACATCAAATAAACTTAATTATCCTAACTGCTTTGTTACTCTTTTGATTTCTCTTGATTCCTGATATAAATTCATCCATGAGACCTGTATTGTTTATTGAGGTTTACGAATGCGATAAAAATTAAGATGAACTATTCCACCTTTGTGCAGTCGTAAAGCAGTTTAGAGTGAAGTTTCATTATGTGGTTGTATGCTAGAAGGAAGCATGGAGTGCATTGAGAGATTAATAGCAGTCCTAAGAAATCTGCTGTAGAGAGTTCTTGTGCTATTTGTATTTTGTACTATTATAGAATTTGTGCAAGGATGCCCTAGATGATATTTATGCATTTACTTCTCTTTATTCTTTGTATATCCGGGTTATGCTTTCGAACAGCTATCTCTTATGCTTGTCTGTTTACTATTGCAGTGTATAGGCTCTAATAAAGATGGACAACCGGACAGCACTGTAGAGTAGTGAGGAGATGTGCATTGTCCTGCCCGATGCTTTATGGTACGAATCTCACTAAACTTAGTAAATGGTAATTTGGAGCTTTTGACATGTATATCCAAGAACAAGAAATCATGCTTAATTACTGAACAACACTCCCCTTGTTTCGTTATCGTTCGATAGTGGGGATTCGATTAACCCTCCCGTTTTCACATAACACATTATGTACTCTCTAAATTTCTAATAAGAATGTGTTGTGTCAAAAAAAGAAAAGACAAAAATGAATAAATGCTGTAGTTGTTGCTTTCCAGGAACAGAAATCAGAGGCGCTACAAGAACGTCTGCACATGTGCAATTAAATGTGGCATTGGGTGCTCGTAGATGGTCCTGCTATCTCTTTTCCAAATGCAATAGACCCAACAACTGTTTCCTGCTTTCCGTCCATCGCTATGCGGTTTGGCGTCTGCAGATTGTGGTCACGGTAGGTTTCCTGTAGAAGTTCTGCAAAAACGGTCCAGCGGGCAGCTTTTGTTTCCGTCCAGGAACGCTCTGGATTGTGTCGCGGTTGAAGGAAAGGCAATCTCTTGGGCGCATGATTGAAGAGATTTTTTTTTAGTTTGACAGCGTGTGCAATGCCAATCAACCCAAGTGAACAAAAAGGTGGGACACTTTCCAAGAAGAGTTACCTGTCTTGTAAAAATCTTTTCAGAATGTTGGTTGGTGCCTTGGCCGCTGTGGGGGTGATTGATCGAGCTTGGATTTGCTCCTGATCATATGACATGGATAATTGATGGTCCTAGCTGATAATTAAGGTTGACTTATAGGTTACATATATGTCCTGTCAAATCTTGCTTGTCGATTTGGTAGCTTGGCATCACAGTTGGAGCAAAACCGAGAGCGTAGGCCCTGAGCTTGTTTGTCTGATGGCATGTAAAGAAACCACGGCATTTTTTACTAACGTTTTGAAAGGCTGCCGCTTGGCATCTACTCCCTCTGTTCCAAAATAGATGACCCAACTTTATACTAACTTTGTACTAAAATTATTACAAAGTTGAGTCATCTATTTTGGAACGGAGGGAGTATTTTCTGATGGAATGATTTTCGTTTTGAAGCTGTCCTCTCGTTGATGTTTTTTTTTAGGTCACCCGAACGTGGGAGAATCAATCAAGAGCAATTACAGCACCTGGTATGAAGCATTGTTTGTTACCGAGTGCATCAGTCAGGTCGCGTGAATTCGCCTTGAAGGCGCTGTGATATCGAGCAAGAGCAGGGGTGGTTGTGGGCACGGCACGGCAATTGTTTGTCTGATTGCATGTTCTGTTTTAGGCGCCAAGTTGCAATTCATTCCCTCCCACCTAGGACGCGCTACAGGAAACGCATTCAGTAGCAGCAGGCGAGGTAACCAGGAGATCTCCTCTTCTGAAGAAAGCAATTATTGTAGCGAAAACATCCATTACCACCATGTCCACCAGGATGCACATGCGCAGACCAGACGTGGCGAACTCCTGCATCATGCAAGCTTTGCTGAGAACCCGTCCGTACGAATCCACACTGGAAACGGCAAGTATTTGACAATGGTAAGTATATTTGACACCACCTGCATCGGCACAGTTGATGCATGTGCACCGGACATCTGCGTGGAGGCAGGTCGGCCAACGGCGAGGCCAAGACATATGTATGTGGATTGTGGAGCGAAGGGAGTCTCTGTCGGTCGATGTGAGCGCCGTCGCCGGCTCGCCCGCCACCACCACCGCCCCTTGCGCCCGAATATCGGCAAGATCCATCCAAGTGCGAGCGTGCGGGTCAGGAGCCGCCCAACCTCGCTATCGCTACAGCGAACGCATTACACTCTCCCCCGCTCTTTTCCTTCCTATACTACAAGGCACTGTAGAAGAAGGAAAAATTAAGCCATCGGGGCCGGCCAGATTTCAGTACTCCAGTCCTCTCCTCCCCGGCATGGCAGCATCGATCCATCCCTCTCTACCGCTAGGTTAGGGCTTGTAGCCCTAGTCAGGGCTAGTCTTGTGATCCGTCTCCCTCTCCGTCTCAGCATCAGCACCACCCTGACCATCAGTGCCCAATAACCCGACGAGGCACAATACATTAACGTGTCTCCTGCGCGATGCCGCCGTCCAAAGCCCCACCGCGAATTCAAGTGTTTCGATCGATCTGGGTCCGCCGTCTCACTCTCACGTCACGTGCTAGCTCCCCGTGTTATTGGAGGCACGATCGACGTGGGCTCCGTTCCACGTTTAGACACTACTTGTACTCTTAGTTAGAGCATCCTGATCCTAGGTGGATGGATGAATGGATCTAGCTATAGACTGCTTAACTTGACGACATCCTACCAAGCAAGAAAGAAAGGGCCAAGTAACTATTGTTGGTTCGGCGATCGAGCACACGCGTAGTCCTTTGTAAGGACTTGTACTGTTGGACAGTACATACATACTGTACATGGCGCAGCAAAGGCATACATGACGCCCACGGCTTATACACACCAGCCCTGAGACGGCACATATGTGGAATTGTAGATTTCCATTTCTTGCTAGTTTTTGCTGCTGATGATGATTGGGCCGTCACTTCCCCCGTGTCATGTCAGATTTGATGCGCCGCCGATTAGTAGTTAGCACATTCCTTGCCGGATCCGTAGGTAACAGCCCCAACAACACCCATGGAAATGGAAATCTTCAAGACTTGACGGTGTCGTTAGCTGATAACAAAGGACGCAATTGGAGCAAACCGAGAGCGTACGTAGTCCCTGAGCTTGCTTTGTCCGACGACATGTTACATGCATGTAGAGAAACCACGCCATATTTACAAATGCTGCTAGCTGTTCAAAGGCCGCGCCTGCGCTGCTGCTGTAAAGTTGGCCTCCAGTTGATGTTATTTCATGGAGGTAACCCAAACGCGAGTGAATCAGGAGCATTTAGAGCACCTGATAGATGCTTATGGACCATTGTCAGGTTGCGTAAATTTTGCTTTCAAGGCACCGCGATCTCATGGAAGAGTACTGGTGGCCGTGGGCACGGCGGCAGTTGTTTTGTCTGGGTCTGGGTCTGGGTCTGATGCCTAACCTAGGACGTGCTACAGGAAACGCATTTAGTTGCAGGAAATACGCATCTCCTGAGAGAAAGCAGTTATTGCAAGCGACGTGAGAAAACATCCATTACCACCGTGTCCACGATGCAGAGGCGCAGCTAGCAGGCCAGACGGCTGCGACGATTCCTGCGCCTACTTGGAACGACACGAGTTCTGCTGGAACCCGTCGGTGCAATTGAATGTGACATTAGGGCACCCATGCCAGAAGCATGGATGGTCCTGCTGTGTTTTCCAAATGCAACAGAACCAGCAACGGTCTCTGGCTTTCCATCCGTGGCTATGCTGTCTGGCGTCTGCGGATTGTGGTCACGGTTTCCCGTACAAGTTCCGTCGTGTCCAGATCTCTTGGGCGCATGATTGAAGAGATCATGCGCAATGCCAATCAACCCCAGTGAACAAAAGGCGGGACACTTTTCAAGAAGAGGTACTCCCTCCGTTCGAAATTACTTGTCACCAAAATGAATATATCTAGAATTAAAATACATCTAGATATGTCCATTTTAATGACAAGTATTTCCGAGCGAAGGGAGTAGTTGTCTGCTTGTGGTAAAAATCTTTTCAGAGTGTTGGTTGGTGCCTTGTTGGTCGTGGGATTTGCTCCTGATGAGAGGACATAGAGGGCCTAGGACATGGATAATTGATGGTCCTAGCTGATAATTAAGGCTGACTTATACTAGGTTATATTCCCCGTCTAATTTATCTCTTTGATCTGCTAGCTAGGCGGGGCAATTGAAGCAAACCTAGAACGTCGTAGTCCCTGGGCCTGTTTCTCCGATGACAGGTAAAGACACACCAATTTTTACTAGGACCAATCTAGCTGGCGGCCGGGCGCTAGGTACCGCTCGTGAGCGGCCGGCCCCTGTCCGAGACGTCTAGTCACTGCCGCATATTAAAAACGCCAGGTAGAGTTTGGGAGCGGTCGATGGAAAAGGTAAGTACGTGTTCCGTTGTACACTAAAAGGAGTTGACCATCTAATTTGCTTTTTAATTTTTGTTTCTTAAAAAAGCCATAATTTTTGAACCAAATATCGAAATTAAAATCCGCTTTCACCACTGAAATCCTCGCGATGTGCTCTTCGAAACTAGATCCCGCATGGATATGTTTTGACAAACTTTTTTTTGTGCAATTTTGTCCCCGTTTTGTGTAACTGACTAGCCGTCGATGTGCAACTACCTGACAGGGATGTGCAACTTTTCTTGTACACCGTAGACATGCAGTTTTTCTCTATGGTACCTCCATCCCCAAATTGCCTCCTTCCAGTGAGATGTGCAACTTCGTTTGTTGCCCAGGCCATGCAATTTTCACTAGTGGCACCACCCCATACTACTCTCTAAAATTGAAATGTGCAATTTCATCTGCTGCCCCGGTGCCCTGGCCAACTGCCTGGTAGTCATCGCGCATGTGAGCCTCTACAACCGCGTTTGAGGGACTATCCTGTAAGAATGTCCCAACTCCACGGCCACGCATGTGCGACTATGAACACAAGAGTGTGCAACTCCATGGTCGGACGTGGGCACCTCCCATAGCAATTCATGTGCGACTATGCAGACGATATTGTGCAACTGTGTGGCCATGCATATGTGACTATGCCGACGAGAGTGTGCAACTCCGTGGCCGGGCATGAGCACCTCCCATAAAAACTCATGTGTGACTATGTGGACGAGGTTGTGCAACTCCATGGCCATGTATGTGCGACTGTGCCGACGAGAGTGTGCAACTCCGCAGCCATGCGTGAGCACCTCTCACGACAATTTATGTGTGACTATGCGAACGAGATTGTGCAACTCTGTGGCCATGCATGTGTGACTATACCGACGAGAGTGCGCAACTCCGCGGCCGGGCGTGAGCACCTCCCCCGGCAATTCATGTGCGACTATCCGGACGATATTGTGCAACTCTATGGTCATGCATGTGCGACTATGCCGATAAGATTGTGCAACTCTGTGGCCATGCATGTGTGACTATACCGACGAGAGTGTGCAACTCCATGTAGACAACTTTTCTGCACCCTCATGGTCTATGGATGCGCATTTTTTCACCATTCAACAAAACCATGTCAGTGAGATGTGCAACTTTATCTGTTGCCCTGGCCAACTGCCTAGCAGATTTTGTGCAACTACTTCTATTGCCCCTGCCAACTACTTCCAATGACCGTGTCCAACTGAAAACAACTATGTGTGCAACTAGAACTACTATAGATGCCAACAAAAAATGATCGCCGTGTGTGCAACTTTCCAATGACCATGTCCAACTGAAAAAACTATGTGTGCAACTAGAACTACTATAGATGCCAACCAAAAATGAATTCCGTGTGTGCAACTTTCCAATGACCGTGTCCAACTGAAAACAACTATTTGTGCAACTAGAACTACTATAGATGCCAATCAAAAATGAACCCCGTGTGTGCAACTTTTCAATGATCGTGTCCAACTGAAAACAACTATGTGTGCGACTAGAACTACTATAGATGCCAATAAAAAATGATCACCATGTGTGTAACTTCCGAACATCAATGTGTGTATAACTAGACTATATTACAAGCCAATTGAGCATATGTGTATGCAACTAGTCTTTCTACCAATTAAATATCAATGTGTATGCAACTAGACTATATTATAAAACAACTAAATATTAATGTATGTGCAGCTAAACTACTATCCTTGACGAACGGGGTCGTTCCAGCATCAGCTCCGAGAAAAGGAGGGAGGAGGCGGCGGCGGCGCTGCTCCTCTGGTTCCACGGCCAGCATCAGCTCCGAGATTTGCTCATCATGCGCGCACTAAGCAATCAGATCAAAAAAGGCTAGCACGTATCTCAGATCCATTAATTGGCTATACACATGAATCCGAAATTGTTCAACTAGCAAAATTAGAATCTCGCGCTGCCCCGCGGGAATTTTTTTCTAGCACATACAGAGAACAGTTGAGGAATTAGACTTTTCCCTAGGGTGATACATGGACGCATTGGGGAACGGCTTGACCGGCGCCGGTGCTGCCGCTGCGGACTCGTTGCCGTTGACGCCATGCTAGATCTCCAACGTCCCGAGGCTCAACCCCTGCGACGCTGCACGGGAGATTCCTTAATCGGCTTCAGGATCTGGTGATGTACCTGGTGAGGGGAAGACGACAGCACCGCTGCCCAGGGTCCCAGTCGG